CCCGATAGCATGCCTGTAATGCTGGTTGTATTATTACTCATGATGCTGCAGCATCCGTCCATGATCTGGGCAGTACCAGGCCCTAAGAGTGTAACCATCATTACAGACATGCCCTCAGGGAACTCCAGAGGCATGGAGACCCTTCAGAAAATTCAAGGAAGTCTCTCCATAAATCTGGGGGCGAGGGAAAGGGGAAGGGGCCCGAGGTGTGGGCCATGGCAGAAGCATTATTAGTCCAGAACTTCCCCTTCTTCTCCTAAAAAGCAGATACAACAACCAGAACAGGACAGAGATGGGGGGGGTAGGTATGGGAAGGGAAGTTGGAGGAAAGAATCCGTAAAACCCATTTCTGGTGATTCATATAATCTGCAGACTCTGAAACAGTTCAGGGGCTGTCCTCAGCAAGCCCCTGGGGTGAAGCAGATCCCAACCAAAGGAAGTAAAGGGAGGAGCCAGTGAGGGGGGCTGGGCAGGGGAAACCACTCAGTGACAGCTGGTCCCAGAGAATGTAAGCAAAAATACACTTATTGAAGGTGAAGAATGCTTGCTGATGAGTAAAATCTGTGTGTCTGGTTTACAACAAACAACAAGGGCTGACACTGACGTGGGTGGCCTTGGCTGCCTGCCGGACTTCAGAAGAGGCCAGTCAATAAAGGGCCCACAAAGTATCCTTGGGAGTGGCTGTGTGCCAGGCATGTCCTGGGCAGAGGTGGAGACAACATCTGTGAGCAAACCACACAATATCTTTTCCCTAAAGGAGTTTGCATTCTAGTGGGGGAAGACAGAATAAACAAGATAAATAGAAAAATTTTACAGTAATTTAGAAGGTGGCAAATGCCATGGAGAAATAATAAGCAAGGAAGGAGCATAATGCATGCTGCCATTTTCAACTCAGTCATCAGAAAGTCATCACTGGAATGGGATTAGGGCAAAGGTAATACTGACATGTTTTGGGGAAATGTGAATGAATTTAGAATCCACTTGATTGGATTTTCTTTTGAATATTTCAAAAGAATTATTATTATAATTATTAGAATGTGCATGCATTTTTATTTACCCTTCAGCTAGCATGGATACCACTGACAAGACACATTCCACGTGTAAATGAATGGATAAAGGAGATGTGGTATGTATACATATACAACGTATATGCATATAATGGAATAGCACACAGCCATGAAAAAGACTGAAACCTTATCATTTGCAACAACAATGATGGACCTAGAGAGTATTATACTGAGTGAAATAGGTCAGAGAAAAGCAAATGCTATTTGATTTCACTTATATGTGAAATCTGAAAAACGAAACAAACTAATAAGCAAGACAAAACAGAAACAGACTCATAGTTACAGAGAATTGGTGGTCACCAAGGATGGGTATTGGGGGGAACAGATGAAATAGGCAAAGGGAAGTAAGAGGTACAAACCTCCAGCTATAAAATAAATAAGTCCCAGGGATGTAAATTGCACAGAGGAAATAGTAACATTGCAATGACTCTGTATGTTGGTGGCTGGTAACTGGTCTTATTATGATGACATTTCATAATGTATATAAACATTGAATCACTGTTGTACATCTGGAACTAATATAATATTGTAGTCAATTATAACTCAATAAAAAAAATTTTTTTAAAAAGACACAGTCTGAAGGCAAATACCTCTCATTGTAAACAGAGACATGTCTGGGTGCTGTTAGGAGTTGTACTAGTCAGATGGCCCCACCCAGCCTTTCTAATATCAGCCCCAAATAGCCCCACCTTTGCCTTTGGACAACTGTTCTACAGCAACTCCATGGCCCCCTGTCCTTTCAGAGGAGCAGTGTGTCAGCAGCTGGCTGTTAAAACAGACGTCCAGGTGCAGGCCACCTTCTAATCCACAGCCACTGGGAGTTGTCCACTGAGCTTGCCACCACCGGTGAGGACGTCAGGACGCACTATCAGACCCACTCCCTCAAGTGGCTTTTCAAGGAGCCCCATAGAGGGCTGAGATCAATGCCATCAGCACATGTTTCACAGCACAACAGGTGAAAAACAGAGCTAAAGGACCATGGAATGTTTCCCCAGCAGAGTACCAGTGATAAAGTTGTCCTCACAACCTCCACAGGAAACCAGGATCCCACTCATTCTCTATCCTTTATGTAAAGAACACATTCTGGCTTGTGGACAAAGGGCAGCTCCTTTAGGAGAAACCTTCACTGGTGAGTTACTGATAGAACAAAAGTAAGTTGTTAGGAGTGTGAATCAGGTTGTACATTCAGGATGCTTTGGCAAGTGGGGAGAGACTGCAGACGGAGTCCAGATCTCAAATAATTGTGGGCGGTATAGGCAGGATATGCAAATGACCCAACCCAGGGCTCTGATTTTGAGAATGGAGATGAAATGGTGGAGATACTGAAGCCAAATGCAAAATGTAAAAGCTACCTGATGGCATGTGAAATTCATTTCCTCTTATTTGAGCCATAACAGTCAAAACCAAACAAATTTTTGAATGGTATCTCAGTTTCTGAGAAAGGAACAGTACAATGGTTTGATAGGAAGGAATTAGGGGTTGTCCAACTGCTGAAATAAGAAGTTGCTGTGAGCTAAACCTAATGTGTTTTTTTTTAATTCTTATCTTTTATTGAAGTGTAGTTGATTTAAAATGCTTGTTTCAGGTGTACAGCAAAGCGATTCAGTTATACATATACATACATATATATTTTTTCAGTTATTTTTAAAATTGTAATAAAACATGTTTATTTTAAAAACTGTATTACTTGAAGGGCTATAGCTCAGTGGTAGAGCACGTGCCTGGCATGCACGAGATCCTAGGTTCAATTCCCAGTACCGACATTTAAAAAAATTTTTTAAATAAAAATAATGAAAACCATAAATTAAAAATTGTATTACTAAATGAGAATTCTACCAGGGAATAACTCAGTCCTGGGGACTTTAGGGCTAATGTTACCTTTTTGGTACGTTCCAAATTAATTCGTCTTTAAATGTTAGAGTCTCACACTGAGTAATTTATGCAAGATTTACAGTATCGTCATACTGCGTCAGTCTGACTCCTCCAGAAGCCATGAATCACACTAATACCAGCAGCTGCTGAGAGCCTGGGGAGAAAGGCATTCTCCCCACGCTCTGCGCTCCTTCCCTGTGGTTTCCTTGGGTTCCCCCTTCTACCAGGCGGACCAAGGCTCACCAGGAAGAAGGAAGAGAGACACTCAGCCTCAAGGCTGCTGAATTCTAGCTCCTCTGAGTAGACTGGACACTGGCCAAGTGGAAGCATAACCTGGCTTCTAGATGGACACCCAGCCTTCTCCCTATATTCTCAGGCCATCTGCAGTACAGATTTTTTAATGACTACTTGTGTGAGGAATTCATGAGACCACAAACTGTAAGGAAATGAAGTAGATGCAGACCCCAATTTCAGCCTGCTTAGGAGACCGGTTTCATTGGATCGAACAAGATGAAATAGATGTATATGTAAGTCAAGAGCAGCCAAAGATTCGCAAATTCACCTGATTCAAGCTGTGCTCTGGAATCCTTCAGTTCTGGGCTCTCTGACTTCTCTTCCTGACTTTAGCCTGATTCTGATCTCCCTCTTCAGCTTCTCGGAATTTGCCTTCAAATTCCATTCTCTATGGAATGGAAGCCAGTTGAGTCCCTACCAAGTTCCTTTAGCTACCCCAACGTCCATTCCATAAATACTCACTGCACACCTTCTCTGAACCAGGGACTGAGCAAACCGCTGCCGATACAAGGGCAGGGGGCAGTCCGTCCTAGCCTTTGAGGCACTCATAGAAGAGTGAGAAAGGCGTATTTTGTAAATACATATAATCAGTTTGGTGATAGACATATGTCCAAACTGTTACGGAGAATAGGGGGCATCAGGTTTGGGGGGAGAAATGAGGAAGGTTTAAAATGAGTCAACATTTGAATTGTACCTGAAAGATTTGTTATTATGTAAGATTATGGAGGATTTCCTGAACAAACCAAGGCAGGAAAGGTATTACAAGCAGGCTGATGCCAAATTCTAGGGTCTGGGGATGTGAAAGGAGATGAATACTCTGGGAAAGGGCCAATAACTTGATAGGGCTCAGTGAGAGGACGCAAGGACGTCTGAGGTGACTGGTGTCAGATCTTAAAGGAGCGTGGCATTTTCTTTCTTTATTATGTGCGTGAGCTACAGAAATTTTCCTAGTCAGGGAAGTAACATGATGTTTGTTTCTGAAATATGATTTTCCTAAATTCAAGAGATCTTGTTTTATTTCTATGACTTGTGAGACTGGAAGGGAAGACTCAAACAAAATAAGTAGGGCATATAGGCTTTAAAATTTATCTTTATTGAAAAACTACACAAATGAACTTATTTATAAAACAGAAAAGAGACTCATAGACATAGAAAACGAACTTATGGTTACCAGTGAGGAAAGCGGGTGGGGAGGGATAAATTGGGAGTTTGGAATTAGCAGATACAAACTACTTATATACAGAATAAATAAACAATAAGGTCCTACTGTATATCACAGGGAACTATATTCAACAGCTGTAATAACCTATAATGAAAAAGAATCTATATATGTATAACTGAATCACTATGCTGTACACCAGAAACTAACACAACATTGTATATCATCTACTTCGATTTTAAAAATTATCTTTATTCTTTTCTCTTCTTACAAAAGAAATACAGATTCATTCAAAGAAAATCCAACATCACAGAAATATGCAAAATAGAAAGCAAATGCTTCCTATAATCCCACTTCTCAGACCCAAACCACTATTAGGACACCAACGTACTGATAGACTCACTTCAGACCCTTATTTCAGTGTATAAACCCAAACATAATTTTCTCCATAACAGTAAATATATAGCCACTTCATTTTTAAAAGGCTGTATGATATTTGCCTTACACATTAATGTGCCATAATTTATTAAATCAATCCTTGCATTAATGTACCATATATTATTAAATCAAGCCTTATTTTGTGGATATCTGAGCTGTTTCCAATTTTTCATGATTATAAACAACACTAGGACGAACACTTTTTTTATATAAATGTTTTCAATGGGTGTTTCTGTAGGATACATTCTTAGAACTCCTTCAAGGAACCGACATGAAGGAATGGTAGTTTTTCATTTTAATAGATATTGCTAATTTCCACCATAAAGGTTGTTATCAATTTATATCCTAACAGGGCATGCAGTCCCCAGTTTCCCTAGGGGGTCATGGGATTTTATAGGCAGTCTGTTCTTACCAAAGAGACTGTAGAACCTCGAGACCCTTCATTGAGCTCTGTGAATGTCTGTAGTTCACACATCTGTCTGGTTTCTAATAAATTAACATGAATAGCGGCTCGAAGGTTTGTCCAAAAAAGGCCACATTTACGTCTATCCTTGGGCCATTCCAAGCACGCTTTCTTTTCCATGAGAGCTTTCAACTTGGGATACCTGGTAGGAATGCAGTAGAGTGGGATGGGTTCCAGTAAGATGATAATTATGTTATCAGAACTTTCATGGAAGAGATTGTGGCGGGCAAAGTAGAGTTCATAATGGCACCACTCACTCTGGACAAAGTTGGGAGACAAGACAAAGATGGACTTGTAGCTTTTCTCAATGCACTTTATGACATCTTCAGTAATGTTCTTGCCAGGGTCAGAGTTTCCCTCATGAAAACAAATTAGTATAGAACCGTCTTCTTTCTCTAGATTGGGGATCAGTGCATGCTTTACCCAGGCAGAATCATGTTCACTGTATGAAATAAACACATGGAATTGGATATTTCTCTTGAGTTGTCCTTGGGTTGTCTTCCTAACCCTGTGCCATGTCTGTGCCCATTGACCTAGCATCCTGAGATACCAGGGCAGATCAAAGTGGAAACAGCAGAAGGCCACAGCCATCCCCAGGACTAGCATGATAACCACAATGGTGACAATCAACAAAGCTACGTTGCAAGATAATTCAGGAAGATGAACATCCTTTAACTGAGTCCCCTTCAGATTCAAAGGGTATTCACAAATGTATGAATCTGACCACCCAACCATCATGCCCTCTGAATATTTTTCAAGCTGAATGAAATCTCTTAATTCACAAGTACACCAGAATGGATTTCTTCCTGCATTTAGAATCTTAACTTCCTGGCAGCTCTGAAAAAAATCCAGAGATGGGCTGAGAATTAAGTTCATTTCAACGTTCAGAACTGAAAGTCTTCCGAAATGACTGCACCCAGGAAGATCAGTTAGAAGATTAAATGCAAGATTTAACTCTCGCAAGGATGTCAGATGAATAATCTCTTTAGGGACAGTTTGAATTTTGTTATCATTCATGTCTAGTATTTGAATATTTCTGGGCAAGCATCTGAAAACAGAGTCAGTAAATTTATTGGATGACAAATTCATGGTGATCAAGGTTTCTGGCCACAAGCAATTTTCATCATTTTCATGTTGTAACAGATTTTGGCTCAGATCTAAGTGCTTCAAGGATGTGTTGCTGGCAAAACAACTCACTAAGGAAAGCGTCTCCAACTTATTGTCCTTCAAAATGAGAGTTTTCAAATGAGGCAATTGGATAGGGGTTTTAAACACGTCATCTGTTAAGATATTATTAGCAAAATTTAAATATTGGAATCTCGTAGGATAAATAGGGAACAGCATGTGAGGCATTTGCGCATCTGATATTGTCAGGTTTTCTATATCCATTTTGGTAAAAAGCAAGTAGACTCTCTCCTGTGGAATATTAAAAATTCTGAAGTGCACATGCTCCAATTTTATAGTTCTCATTACAGTATTTGAGTAGTCAAATGAATTGTGGTCAAGATAAACCTTACCTCCAAAAGTCACATGTTGGACCTGGAAGTATTCTACTGATGTATGCCAAACAAATTGGAAGATAAGGAGAAGGTCACCCCAGAGTAAGTCAACTTTATTAAGTAACAGAATGGATGTCTTGGCATTCTCTAAAGTAAGATTCTGTTGAGTTTCATAACTTGCAGATTGACTTTTGCCATCTATATTCGTCATTTCTAGTATTTTTGAAGTCTTGATTCCATCACGCAAAAGAACCCAGAAATTTGTATTCATTGGTAAAACAATGTGAAGTTTTGTTGTGTTTAAGATAGGCAGGCTACCTTCCTCATAATGGGAAAGAGTTCTCAATCCTAAGAAGACAGTATTTAGATGCAAATGAGCAATTTTCTGGAAATCTGATTTCCGTATTTTTGCCCCACTCAGACCTAGGATTTCCAGGTGTGACATGTTGCCAGTCTCCTCACAGATAGGTACAGTATCAAAGTCATTGAAGGAAAGATCGAGATGTCTGAGACCTGCCAGTGAGAACCAGGTTACCATCTTCAGTCTGTTGTAAGACACATCTAAATATCTTAACTCCGTGTTGAATTCAAAGGTCCTGATATCTAGCTCCTGGATTCTGTTATGGCACAGAATCAAAACTTTCAGTTTAGAGACAGAATGAAAATCTGAACGCTGGAGTTGAAAAAGGAGGTTGTAGGATAAATCCAGCGTGGTTGCGCTTGGGGTCAAGTCTGTGGGAATCTTTCTTAAAGACATGTTGGAGCAGTTGATAGTCAATTCCCTTTCTTCCAGCAGCTTTGAAGCCCCACCACCCACTGATATAACAATACAACAAAATAGGTAAATGCTTCTGATATGTCTCATTGTAATTCCGAGAATTTTATCACTGGTTCACCTCATGTGAATTTTATCACACGTCACCTCATATAAATGGTGAAGATGAGTTCAAATCCTGGAAAAACAGCATATAACGTTAAGAGGTTATGTGATTTGTTAAACCCTGTAGGACTTTTTAAGTACTAACATTTGACTATATTCACCTGAGATTATTCATGTAACATCCTTGTGAGAGTTCAGTCTTGCATATAATCTTCTAATTGATCTTCTTGGTTGAGATCATTTCAGAAGACTCTCAGTTCAAGTATTTGCAGTAGGGTTCCAACCCATATACTGAGTCTTTGATTTGATCTCAGAGCTTGGCTCCATAGATTTCCAAGTCCATTACTGTGTCATACCCCCATCACTGAGGCAAGTCAGGATTCCCAGAAGGGAGATAGATATATATAGTTGGTAGAAATGCCTCTCACCCAGCTCAAATTAGGAACTGCACTGCCAGGACATATTCGACACCCTCTCCCACATCCCCTTTTGATAGCCTGAAAGCTTTAAGACAATTAAAAGAAATTTTTAAAAATTAAGACATTTTTAGAGCAGTTTAAGATTCATAGCAACATTGAAGGGAAGGTATAGAGATTTTCCATATTCCTCCTGCCCTGACATGTGAACAGCCTTCCCTATCATCAACAACCCCCTCTCCATCAGAGTGGTGCATTTGTTACAACTGATGGACCTGCACTGATACATCATAGTCACTCCAAGTCCACAGTTTACACTATTGTTCACTCTTGGTGCACATTCTGTGGGTTTGGACAAATGTATAAGGACATGTATTCATCATCATAGTATCATACAGAGTATTTTCACTGCCCTAAAAATCCTGTACGCCTATTCATCCTCTGCCCACCCCACAATCCCTGGAAACCACTGGTCATTTTTTTTGTCTCCATAGTTTTGCCTTTTCTACAATGACATAATAGTTGGAATCAATACAATATATATCTTTTCCAAATTGTCTTCTTTCCCATAGTAGTATGCATTTAGGTTTCTTCTATGTCTTTGCATGGCTTGATAGCTCATTTCTCTTCAGCACTGAATAATAGCCCACTATCTGGATCTACTAGAGCTTATCCATTCACCTACTGAAGGACATCTTGGTTGCTTCCAAGTTTTACCAATTATAAATAAAGCAACTATAAACATCTGTGTACAGGTTTTTGTGTGGACATAAGTTCTCAATGAAAGTAATCTTTATAACTGAACAGTGTGGGCCCCTGAATTAATGTTATGAAGCTGTTTACTCAACTTTGTTATTTGTGAACATAGGGAGCCTCTTAAGCTTATACCTGACTGTCAATAATACTTACCCATGCACATGGACGGTCCAAAACACAGAAATAAAAAGAGTGGTTCTGGTCCTTATGCCTCCATATGTCTTCAGGTTGGTGGCAAAAGCAGTCGGGATCACTGCCAAATAATAGTGACAGTGATAGAATCAGCTTCCATTTCTTGAAGCTTTTCAGTGAGCCAAGAGGTACAATAAACCCTTCACATATATTATCCTACTTATTCATCACGAAACTCTGTGAGAGAAGTGCTGTTACCCACAGGTTACAGATGAAGACAGTCATGCATGCAGAATTCTGAGGACTTTGAGAGAAGAGTCAGGCTTCAAGTGCTTGATTGGACACAGAACAGAGGGGTTGGGGAACTAAAAATTTCACAATATTATTATTCAAGATCTACTTTGCCAGGAATTTTTCCAGGCACTGAGGATACAGCAATGAGTAGAACAGACAGAATTTCTCTTCTTACACACTTACATTCCAGTAAGGGGTAAGAAAAGAGGCACTATAAACAAAGGAATAGATTTCTATGTTAGGTGATGATCAGGGCTGAAGAAAATAGCCAAGATAAGGGGAGGAGAGGGTGGCTGAGGGGTGATATTGGTATAGGGGAGTCTAAAAAGGCCTCGCTGATATGGTGACCTTCATGCAAAGATATAAAGGGTGGAAGGAGCAAGCCTCTTGTCGTCTGGGGAAAAAACATTCTGGAAAGAGAAGAGCAAGTGCAAGTTCAAAGACCAGATGTGGGAGCCTCTTCAGAAAATGTGAGGAGTGACTGGAGCGGAGCTGAGGAAGTGGATTGAAGAGGTCAGATCTTGTAAGGATTTGGGATTTTCCACTGATTGAAATAAGAAATGAATGTAGGATTTAGAGCAGCGGAGTGGCAGATTCTGATGCACATCTTAAAGCATTCTCTCCTTGTTAGCTGGGAATGACTGGAGGGGCACGAGCCTGGCAGGAAAGACCCCCGGGACACTAACGAGGAATTCATGCCAGAAAGAGGGTAGTGAGGAGGGGGTGAGAAGTGGTTAGATCCCACTATTGTATGAGTGAAATCTTCAACTTTATGTCCCCCTACACCAGGCACTCTGACAACACAACGGAAGGTAATGAGCAGGGTGAGACTTTCCCTGCTTCTACCTGCATGTTTATTGCACATTGACTCCCAGTCTCCCCCAGACTCGTCACCCCTATGGACAAGCAGGAGGGACCAGGGGCAAACTCAGGGTGTAGCGAGACTTCTCTCTAACGTTCACGTTGTTCCATTCTGAGAAATGTGTGAGCACACATGCACCCACGTGGGTGTTGAGGCGGGGACAAAACTGGCCCAACTGACACAAAAGGACATCTGGATTATTACCTCGCTCTTACCTGGATTTTTCTTTCTCTAGAACCTGCCCAAATTTGTTTTGTTTATTGTTATTGGTGTTCTTGTTGAAGTGAAGAAATTCTAGGAGGCATGTCTTTATTTTCTAAAACAACTTAAAAATGAAAATACTTTGTATAGTTGTTTCATAGAAAATAGGGAAAGGGACACAGAAATGTTCAACTATCGTGTGATGTGAGTGCGAAGAGAGAATTTTGATTTTTGGCATGCCTTGTCCATTGTGCATTCAGGGGAAGAGGCACATGAAGGGCACTAGGTGGGGGTGGGATTGAGGAGGTGGCACCCTTCACCTTCCCACTGAGATATTCCCTCCACGTTTATTTCCTCCAATCCATCCCAGGTAGTCCTCTCTTGGTCATCTCCTTTTTATGTAACGTTTAATATAGCATCCAATGACCAGTATAAGAACAAATACCAACATACAAAGAGAGCCTCTGTGATGTAACTTTATGTCCATGATTATTTCCCAGATTTTACGAATCCAGTAAAATAAACTAGTTGCTAGTACCATCATTTTAATACATTACCCACATTTAAGATGACCCGAGTAACTCTTCTGTTTGATGAATCTATACATTTATAGCTATTCAACATGTCTGATAGCATGTCCACGCCAAATTTACTCTCATGCCAATGAGGCAGTGGCCACTCAATGTCTTTTTGGGTAACAACAACTACCATTCATTGGGCTAAGTAACACTGACTTTACACAGATGGATCCTTACAACACTACTCACCATTTACAGATATGAAAGGTGGTGCTTAGAGAGGTCCTGTAGCTGCCTCATGGTCACAAAGTTACTCCATGGTGAGTCCAGAGCCGGGGCTCTTAGCCATTCTGCTATCTTGTCTCTCTAGGGTGAGTCAAGATAAATCTGTTTCCAATATATGCTATAACATATTAACCATGATGAAATTATATCTCACTAGGACATGTTGATTATTTAACGTTTCCTTATACACAGTCCAAGGAACCCAATGAGTAAGTTTGTAAGTGCTACCCAATTTAGGGTTTCTTTTTTTTTTCCAATTTAGGTTTTAGATCAATTACCTACAAGGACAGACACGGATTGAGCCATTATGTTGAGTACTGTCTTGTTGAAGCCATTGTATTTTGGGGTCACTTGTTACAGCACCCACCTATGTCCTAACTAATGTGCTGTTATCCTTAGAATGAAATCCAAACCCAATACTGGATTACTAAACCCTCCACGGGCTGGTCTTGCTTCCTTGTAGGATCTCATTTCATATTATCCTGGCCCTCTGAACTCCAGTAAGACTGATCCTCTGCTCCATGGCCACATTTTGCTCTAACCTCAGGGCCTTTGCACTAGCTTTTCCCTCAGCTTGGGATGTTCTCCCATCCTTCCTTGGCTGGATCCTTCTTATCATTGAGGTCTCGTCTTACAGGTCATCTCCTCTAAGAAACCTGATTTGACCCCCTAATCTAAAGAAGACATTTAGATTAACTTGCTAGTCATTCACATCATCCTATTTTGTTTCTCTACAAAATAGAGTACTTACCACTCTCTGAAACTTTTATTCATTTATTTGTTTGTTGACTACACCCCACCCTCACCTCTCACACTCAAGAGAAGGGGGTCTAACAACCTTGCTCACCTCTGTATCCCTGGCATGTACAACAGTGCCCAGTCCATGGCATATGTTCAGTAAATACATTCATGTATATAAGAATAAATGAATGATTTCAATTTTTTATTCCTTAGCCTAAGGTTGTATATAACATACTCTCAAAAATATGTATCAAATGAATTAATTTGAGTTGTGAATTCCTGTTACAGTGCAGTGCATGATGGTTAAAGTGTGAGTTTACTATTGAGGATGGACAGGTCTGTGTTCAAGTCCAATCTTAGCCCTTCACTGGCTGTGATAACTTAGATAATTGATTTAACTGCTGAAAGGTTCTGCAGAGGCATAAGGAGATAATGTATATAAATCACTTGGTGTCATGTCTAGTATATCACAAATGGTAGCAGTTCTCATGGCCAAAACTAAGGTGATTTCAGGTACAAATTTTAAGAGGCACCAAGGAACTCGGTAATCAAGATGAGTAATATTTTAATAAAATATTTTTTTAAATTAAAATGAATGTAAAATCCATGATAAACAAAAATTAAAATTTTTTCATAAAGACAGAATGAGTTTTACTGATTTCTCCTCTTGTCTCAAGCTCCAGTATGGCTTGGTAGGACACTGGATATAGTCACTAAGTTATGTCACTAAGACAATGAAGGTGTTTTTACCATTATTTTCTCACCAAGTTCTTCCATTCATAGCAACTTAGTTTAAGCTCTTAGGTCTAAGAGCTATGGCCCTTGAAAAATGCAGCAAAGTCTAACTCAGCTATTTGTCTGGAATCCTCTGTGTTGAGATGTCATAGCTTTCAAGTTTTACCCACCTTTTTTCTCTGCCCAGTACCACAACCTCATGTGAAACTTATTCTAAAGAAGTGAAGTTAAGAAAGAAGTTAAGAAACTCTTTCTGAACTTCTCTTAATATAATAAAAGAAAAAGGCCCTATCTCTCAGGCAATGCATACAAGTTATGGTATTTCATTTAAACACTTTTAAAAGTCTGACATAAACTTTTGATGAAAGATGCAGTCAATAAATATATTATTATCATATTCATATTACTGTCACTGTGCACTGAAAGCTAGTGAAAAACAGAATGGCTTTCTTTAATACTTTATGATTTAAAAGTCTAAGTCAAAAGACACCATGAAATGACTTGTGGTGGCTTGCCAGAGAATACTTAATCATCTAATTTTTCTTTACTCAATGATGCAAAAAAAAAAAGTGGAGAAGGGGTTAAAAAGGGGTTAAAAACCCATTGAAATTTGAATGATCTCTAATGAACATAAGAGCAAGGATGATTGACGTTTTATGAGTGTTTCCTATCTGCTTGGTAAGGAGCTAAATACTTTCCATACATTACCTTGTTCAATCCACTCAACAACCCAGCAAAATGATGGATATCCCCATTTTACAAATGAAGGCGCTAAAACCCAGAGGTTAAGTAATTTGCCCAAGGTAATCCAGTAAATAAGTGGCAGAACATGAATTTGAACCCAGAATCTGGTCCCTTCTGGATCCTAAATTGAAGGCATTTCAAACTCTGAAATGAAGAAGCTTATGGTGTGATTGCCGAGGCTGATTCCACTGGCAGGACTAGCTACCACTGTGGCCTCTTCCTTTCCCTCCCACCCCATGTCCCTTCTTCAAAGCTATTTATAGTCTGCTCGGTGTCACAAAGTTGAAGCCAGCAAAAAGGAAAGTCAAATTCTCAAGCACCTACAAGACAATTCTTCAAATCAACAGTGATCAACAGTAAGCCCCAGGGTCACTCACTAATCATCAATCTTTAGATTACTACAGGCAAAATAATAAAGACTCAAAACCTGAACACATCTGCTTTCCATCTACTGAATCAGTCTGAATATCTGAATAATCTGAGTGAATCTGAATAATCTGAAAATCTGAATAAATCTACTTCCCTCCCACTTTGTTTAGAAAAGACCCCATGCAATTCTTATTTCTTTTTCATGAGTGTTCTAACAAAGAAAGCTAACAGCTCTTACCCCCAGGCTGGCAGCGGCTCCGGCAGAGCTGCAGGTGCGAATGATTCATTGACAGAACCAGGACTGGCTCCAGGAGTGCCTGAGTCCAGCTTTTCTGTGAAGTTTGCACTCCTTTGCCCTCTACTGCATGCTGGGGGCATTACATGCTGCATAAGTTCATCATAATCTTAGAGCACTTTTTAAAGAATTGCAGGAAAATACACAGAACATAAAATCTACCATTTTAACCATTTTAAGTGTACAGTTCGGTGGCTTTTAGTACATTCACATAGTCGTTCAACCATCAGCACCACCCAGCTTCAGGACTCTCTCATCGTCCCACACTGAAACTCTGTACCCATTAAACAACAACTCCCCACTTCTTCCTCCCTTCAGCCCCCCGTAACCACTGTTCTACTTTCTGTCTCGACAGATTTGACTACTCTAGGCACCTCAAATAAGTGGAATCATACAACATTCGTGTGATTGCCTTATTTCACTTAGCATAATGTGTTCAATGTTCTTCCATGTTGTAGTATGTATCACAACTTCCTTCCTTTCCCGCTTAAGGCTGAAAAATATTCCATTGCGTGTGTATACCACATTTTGCTTATCCATTCATCCGTCAGTGGGTATTTGGGTTGTTTTCACCCTTTGACTGCTGTGAATAGTGCTTCTTTGGACATGGATGTGTACAATTATCTGTTCAAGTCCCTGCTTTCAGTTCTTCAGGGTAGATGCCTAGAAGCGGACCTGCTGGACCCTACGGCAATTCTGTGTTTGAATTTTTGCAGAGCTGCCATACTGTTTCCCACAGCATCTTACAGCACTTTGATGATGCTTCACTTCAAGGTTCACATCAGTCATCCTGCCCTTCAAACTGGGTGGGAAGGCCAAGCGGTGATGAGAAGAAATGAAAACGGTGGCTGCATAATTTCAGCAGTCTGACTGGGGAAGGCCAGAGGCCTTGTCTTGAAATGAAGTGGTAACACAGGCGTGGTACTTTTTAATGTAGTGTGCAGGGAAGAGGTCAATTTTTTCAAAGCATCAATTTTTGAGGTTTTACTTATGCTTGACTTTAGATTCAGCTGACACTGCTGGAGCTCACTGAGGAAGGCGAAAATTTCCAAATGGATTTGTCCATGGGAGGAATGGTCAGTTTGAAACTGAATAATTATAATAAGTTTATGTAAATATGAAATTGTGTGTGGGGGGTCCATAAAACAAAATATTTTTTCACAATCGTATTGGGGATTTTTAGTCAAAATGTAATAACGTGTATTTCTATGTATATTGTAGAGAGAAAATCACACAATGAATAACTGTTTAAAGAAAACCACAACAGATACAGTCCGCTCTGCTGCCACCTTCACAGAGGTGAACCTGTCTACACCTGGAAACAGGTACCGGGCCCGTGCCCAGCAGGAGTGCTGGAGAGCATTCCTAGCTTGTTGCACAAACTAGGCGCTAACATTCCCTTCATCTCAAGAATTCTCAAATGACTACAAGTCATCACTCTCACATTCTAAACAGCCCTGTCAAGGAAAAATAATCACTTGGGGTTTTTGGTGTCCAAAGACATATTTTTTTCAGAGCCCAACATTTTTAAACACTTTACACGGTCAGTGAATGTGGAATTTTTCTTTACTTATTTTTTTTAATTTAATTTCCAGAAAGAAGCCAAGTTAGAGAGCAGTATTCTGTGTTGTCGTCATCCCCATCGTGATCGCTACGGCTTGCCTCCTTCCCAAGGGCAGCAAGTGTTACAAACAAGATACTGTTGAATCCTCACTGCGAACTACATAAAACATACATATGATTCCCACTTGACAGATGAGTCTGGTTCAGAGAGAACAAGAAACTTGCCCAAGGTCATCATCCCGTAAGAAGTGGAATCAAGATTCAAAACTTGAGTCTATGTGGCTCTGAAGCCCACAATGTTTGCTTCAGGTGCCCAAGAGTTTAAATACTATTCCCTCTGCCATCACCTGGAATTTCTAAAATCTTTAAACCCTTGTTTGCAATAAGCAATAACAGTATGCTCAGAACCGTATGTGCTGACATCTTTAGCTACTAATATTTTTCACTCTCTTAAAAAAATCTTATCCACTTTTCCCTCCTTTTTCCCCCTTCTCCTCTTGCTCTGAGTTTCAGAGATATCTGACATGATATGCCCCCACCCCCATCTCTCTCTCTCTCACATACACACACACACTCTCTCTCTCACTCTCTCTCTCTCTCACATATATTTCCTCCCTCATGCCATCCCCTGATTTCAGACTTCTGCCTGCCATATAACTTGGAACGAATAGAGAACTTTGGGTTACCTCAACCGGATGGAGGTTTATTTTAAAGACACTACAGAAAAAAAGAGAACCCACAGGAAGTGAGGGAGCCCGGCGGCACACAGCCAGGCTTCACAGAGACCTGGAAGGCCGGCTTGCTACCCTCCAAAGTGGGCAAAGGGCTCTTCTCTACTCTAGTTCTGACTCAGCTTCTCTTTGACTCTTTCTTTCCTGCTTCTCTTTTTACTCCCGGCTTCTCTTTCCTGCTGCCTTTGCCTCTTTCTTCCCACTTTCTTCCTGCCTTTCTCAGTATCAACGGCTGGTGGACAGCACCGAGGCTCATCCTGAGGGTACAGCCCCCAAGATAAGAAATCTGATTGGCTCCTCTTTTTCTTACCATCCAAAATGGAGCATCTCTATTGGGCAGAGGGCCCCTGGACCACCCCATAGTCTGCGGGCTTCCTTTGTGTGTTGCCCCTGCTAGAGCCTCCCCTGATGCAAGCAGGCAGGAAAATCAAGTGTCATCCAGCCGGGACGGCTGCTTCCCCCTATTGCCCCTCTGCGGTCTGTGAGTCTAATGTGAAGCGCGTGTTGATTGGGTGGCGCTCCTCTAGTAAGAGAAAATAGTGACAGAAGTTATGTTTCCTGAATTATATTTCGAAAAAACAAATAAACATTTAGTTCCAGAAAGAGATAGATGTGGATCTCCCAGATTTAGGCTCTCATTTCTTTGGGGGAGGGGACTATCAATATTTAAGTTCTAAGACATACTGAACTTCTGGGAAGAAGGGTGAACATCCTCACGGGCCTGTCTGTGACCACATCATCAACATGCAGCACTCCTGTCCCCTGCCTCTCAAAGGCATGGTGCCTGGGACCTTATTGGTTAACTTTGATCATGGGTTTTTATTAAGGGTTGTCATCCACTTGTGTGGGTGTTAACTTGGGGAGTTCAGGAAGCAACTGTGTCCTAGTATGAAGATGAAGTCCATCAGAGAGCTCTGCAACACCCAAGGAAGGCAGGGGTGAGCTGGTCCAAAGCGTTGGGGAGCCACAGAAGACACAGTCCAGAAAGCACAGGAGAGGTGGCCGGGAGTTCAGAATGCCTCTGAAATCCTCAGAAGGGACAGCTTTCCTATGGCTGAGCACTCAAGTGGCTTTACTTGAAAATACAAGGTGATAACCCCACACCTAGAAACTTTGGTGACAAAAAGAAAAAAGTTTCTTCAGTATAGCACAGGGAACTATGTTCGATATCTTGGAATAACCTTTAATGAAAAAGAATATGAAAATGAATATAAGTATGTTTATGCATGACTGGGACATTGTGCTGTACACCAGAAGTTGACACATTGTAATTGACTGTACTTCAGTTTAAAAAAAAAAAGAAACTTTGGTGACAATCAGGTTGCACTAGTGAGGTTGAAGTTTTTCACGTGTTTGCTTTGTAACTGGACTCTGTTTTGAGCTGTCCATCTCTTCACCAATAAATCAATCGGGATCTTAGTGCTTTTCTATTTTATCTTATCCTTCATATAAAAAAGGAAGAGAATTTTTATCTGAGGTATTTGCTACCAGTTTTACTTCCCAATTTAGTATTTCCCCGTTTGCCATTTTTAGTTGATTTTGGTTTTTTATTCATTTGCTTGTTTGTTTTAAGATACAGCTGTTTTCCGGAACGGGAGAGGGGGGATTTGTAGTCAAATTCCGTCCCTTTTCTAATTTTTTTGAATCTTAGAAAGCCCAGGACAGCCTAGACTGAACATGATCAGCAGCTTAGCTCCAGTTCCATATTCGGTGGTATAAGGGAATGAAAATAATAGCAATCACAATAATAATAATGTCATCATTAGAGCTAATGTTTATCAACCTTTTGCAGACCCACTTTCCTCTGATTTCTTAACCATATAAGAAAGGTTATCATGCCCATTTTACAGATGAGAAAAAGGAGGCTAGAAAAAGTTAAGGACACGGGTACAGAGAAATTGAGCCGGGATTTAATTCCAGAATGCTTGTGTGCAGAACCCAGTTTCATAACCTTTATTCTCTGCTACTTTCAGCTCTAATGGAGACCTAGCCTTATTCCCCTAAACCCCATTTTCTTTTTTCTTGGTCGTAAAAATTTTAAGTACAGAAAAATGTAAAAGCAAAAGCAAGCATCAACCACAGGCAAGTAGTGATAATATTTTTGTATATTTTCATCTAGATTGTGTTCTCTGCATATTTTTAACATATTGGAACCATCCTGTGCATACAATTTTGCATTTCAAAATTTCTATGGTTTTCATTTCTGTTGTAATATAAGCATTGTCTTATGTTAATAAAAAAGACTTCCCATACATTGTTATTTTTAGATTGTGGTAAAAAAAACACGTAACACAAAATTTACCATCTTAACCCTATACACTATTTTTAGTAATTGTAAAATATGTCACTAAATGAGCCCAGCATGTTTCTTCCATTGTTGGAAATTTGGAGAGCTTCAAAATTTTCACTGTTAACAATAACCCTGCAGTTAACATACTTGTAAAGAAATATTTGTCCACATTTCAACTTATTTCCTTAGGATATATTTCTAAAAGTGGAATTACAGGTCACAGATCATGGCTATTTATATATTGCCAAACTCCTTGGTCCTTCTATTACCACTATATAAAATGCCCCCTCCCCTGCAGCCTTGTTAGTAATAACAAGCTGATAAAAAATGGAACTGTTTTCATCTTAATTTGATCAAGAACCCTGGGTGAAGTGTGAGACTAGATAACTGAGTTTGTAACCCTTTGCTTACTAGCCAAGAAAAGGGATTGGAGAGTCTGAGAGGTGTTAAGATTAGAAGAGGGTTTGGAGAGCTTTTGGTGTAATATGAATTCCCTCTTATCTCAATCCTAGGAAAAGGGGCTTCAGCAGAACCACGTGGAAAGCTGGTCATGTAAACTCTGCCCTTTGGGGGACATATTGTAACCAGTCTTTAATTCATACCTGGAAATCTAAAGGCCTTGGCTAGCTGCTCTGAGGGTACCTTTTACTAATAATGAAATTTAGGCTTAGAAAGTTTAATTGTTCAAGGTCATGCACATATAAGTAATGGAGCTATAATTGAAACCCAGTGGTTCCAAATCAGAGCTTGCTAATTTATCCAATCTGTGATGTGCCTTCTCATTTCTTATTTTCATTACTATGTATTTGTCCACACTTTGAACTGAATTCCTCATCTCCCAACTTGGAATTCTTTGGCAGGAGATTCCACAAGCACAATCTCAACCTCCTAGCTGCCTCTTTAAAACCACTTAGGAGATCAGATATTTATACACAGATTGATGTAACTTCTCAGAATCTTGAGTTTGTTAGATAAACTTTAACTGACTTTATGGCTGCCTTTAAGGATTTTTTTTTAGACTTGCGAAATGTGATGGGTTGAATCGTGTCCCCTAAAATCCATTTGTTGAGGTCCTAAACCCCAGTACCCCACAGTGTGACCTTATTTGGAAATAAGGATAGTGTAGATGTTATTAGTTAAGGTGGGGCCATTAGGGTGGGCCCTAATCCAATATGATTGGTATCCTTATAAAAGAGTGGGGATTGGGGCATAAATAGGCATAGAGGGAAGACCATGTGAAGAAACAGAGAGAGACAGTCATCTAAAACCAAAGGGTAGAGGCTGGGAGCAAATCCTTCCCTCCCACCCCTCAAGAGGACCCAACCCTCCCGACATCTTGATATTGGACTTCCAGCCTCCAGAACCGTGAGTCAATAAATTTCTGTTGTTTAGGCCACTCAGAGTGCAGTACTCTGTTACATCAGACCCAGCAAACAAGTGCTAAGCAATTGAAACTTGGAATTGAAATGCAACTAGGATTGCAACTGAAATACACCTAGTGCTGAGCAACTGAAACTTGGTTATGAAATCTTCAAGTTCAGTAACAGGAAGGGCAATCATCCTAGAGAAAACAGGAAGATCCAGGTTTAGCAACGGTTGCAACTTCCATTACAGAACAAGCGCTTTTATCCATTTTTAGTATATATTTCATGATTTCAATTTGTTTTCCACTATTAATTCTCACAGAATTATAAATGATGACTTTCCTGTATTTCTAAATGTCAACTCCGTAGCTTGTCTTTCCAGATCCATGACATTATGATCTTAATCTAACTCTCCATGCTTATGTCTCACTGTTAATTTTCATAAATTTCATCGTCCAGTCAAACTGGGACAGTGGTCCCAGAATAGGCCTGGGTATTCCTATCTTTGCTCCCCCATCTGTCTATTTAGAATGGTCTTTCCATTCTTCATCATTATGCATCAAAAAAATCCAAAGTTAAAGTCTCCCTTCAAAGCCCAATGGAAAAATGACCACTTATAAAAAAATTTTTTTTCCACTCAATCTAAATGGCCTTTGAACTTCCATTTATATTTTTGTTCCATTGATTTTTATTTTTGCTATCTGGATTCATAGGGGTATTTTTAGGAAAAGAAATAACTAGTATATTAAGTCTTACTTGAGTTTCTCCTCCCAAAAGTGAAGATTCACACAAGAGCTTTGTGTGCAGTTCATTTGGTTTGAAGAAGTGGTCTCAGGACTCAAGAGTGAGGGGACTGAGAAGAATGAAACAAGGATGAAGGCAAAGCCAATCCAAGAGTAAGTTATTGAACTGGTTACTCCTGTGGCCAAGGAAGGTTCAATCCCACTGGGGACTCTCTGAGGAGTGGTGCAGACTATGCCTCATTTTCTTACCCAAGAATAAAAGAGAGAGGAATATTTATCTAATGGCTCCCGTCCCTCTGGTGGCCAGAGATCTCTTTAGACAAGATCTCTGGAACTTCCAGGTGTGTGCATGTACCAGAATAATTGAACAGGATTCCACAAACATCCTGGACAGTGGTATTAGTGTAGTCATGGAGCATTAAGTGAGAGATAGATGGTGCAGCTACGATGAGGTGCTGCCAGGCTACACCTGCCTAGAGCTGGCTGTCAGAGTAAAAGTGTCTAGACAGAATGATTGATGAGTATGAAAAATAGCTGTTATAATAAAGCTGGAAAGAAATCTGATGTAGCCCACTCCTTGCACTGCTCCAATTTGCTCATGCCCTATTTTAAGTTTCCCAAAAGACAGGAATACTATGTATAGAAGCAGTACACATCGGCTATATTCCTCCTTTTGCTCAAAAGAGCAAAGGCTCCCATTCATTCTAGTTCAGACAACTAGAATCTCAGCAAGATCTCCAGCCACAGAAAACCAGACTCAGAATTTCCATTTGACCTGAGATGTAACACACTCTTGGTTTAAGTTCCAATGCAGACCCTGAGACGAGTATTCAACTGCAAGGAGTTTATTTCAGAGGAAGAGTGAGGAAGAATGAGGATATGAAATAAAAATAGAAAGGAGGCCAATAAAGTCATTTCTACCATAGAAAATCAGGATTGCATCCTACTGGGAGATTCAGGGGGAATGTAAAGTACACCCCAGATTTGTCCCCCCGAAATGGGTGAGAAAGTTGAGGTATTTATCTGCCAATTCTCTTTCTGATATTGGTGGAAGGCTGTTTCCAAGGATACCCTCCAGCACTTCTGAATTTCCCTTTGTGTGGGTAAAGTGGGTTCTCATGGCCAAGAAGAAAATCCTTCACGGAGAGACTCTCCAGCATTAGCAATAAGCGGCCCTCAACATGCAGAGGTGAATGTTGAGTGGAAATGAGGAAGACACCAACAGATATAGAAATCTGCTACAGAAACCTAGCTACAGGTATAAAAGGCATGAAGTTTTCTAACATTGACCCTGGCACACAGAAACATATCAACTGAAGTTGTTTGAACAGGTGCTTCTCTCGATTACATGATAAATTCAGTGAATTCAGTCCTAGCAAAGAAACACATGAATGCCTCATGTTAGAAATCAACCATTTACATAGAAATTATATCACTTCACTTACTTTTATTACCATGTATAAATAGGGAACTGAGGCCTGAAAGGATGTACACATTTTTGTCTACATCTTAAATTTAAAGTCATGTTTAGATTCGTGTTGATGCAAAATAAAGTCATTGTTGGAACTTGCAAAAGCAGCAACATTTTTTCTAAAAGCAGCAGAGGAATATTTTTAGATCTGTGTGTAACTTAATTCTTTTGATTTCTCCATCAATTTAATATTAATAGATGCTCTTAGATTAGCCCAAAAAAGTCCATGTTTGCTCTTCTCCTTGGGCCATTCCAAATAAGTTCTCTGTGCCATGAGAGCTCTGAGCTTGTGATAGCTGCTAGGAATGGAATACTGTGGAATGGGATCCAGCAAGATCAGGATTAAGTTATTGGATCCTTCATGGAAGAGGTTGTGGTGGGCGAAGTAGAGTTCATAATGGCACCACTCACTCTGAACAAAGTTGGGAGACAAGACAAAGATGGACTTGTAACTTTTCTCAATACAGTTTATGATATTTTCCATGATGCTCTTGCCGGGAACAAAATTCCTCTCATGAAGACAAATTTTTATATCTTCTTTTTCTAGGTTT